TCCATCTTCTTCTGCTTATCTGGGGTTGGGTTGCGGAGGTAGCAGCTTCAGCAGGGAGGCCCAGACGTCACTCTCCCCAGCCACTTGGGCCAGCTCCTCCAGGGGAATCCCAAGGTGCTCCCAGGTAGAGGCCACCTCCTGCAGTGTTCAGTCCCACTCCCGCAAAGAATTATGACTTACAGTCCCGCTCCAGCCCGCATCTGTAATAGTTTGTTTTGCTCCCGCCCGCAACTCCAGCATGATTCCGACGTTCACCTACTGCTCAAGGCAATTCGTGTCATTAGTTTGAGGAATTAAACACGCTGTGCTTAGTTGAGCACATTACTGGCCGATTCTTCACCGAATAGTGCATGACACGCATTAGGTGGTATGAGCTGCCATATGCAGCACATTGTGATGTATATATATGATAGACATAGACTGATCATTTATGACCTTATTTTACATTTTATTTTATGTTTTAAAACATGTTTTTAGTTCGCGGGACTGCCGCTTATCACCGCTACCCGCCCACACCCACAATGAGCTTTCAATATTTGTCCCGTGCCGCACTGCTTTGCGTTGGGTCCCATGGGACTCCCGCGGGAGTGCAAGGCTCTACTCCCAGGCCAGCCGAGAAAGATAGTCCCTCCAGTGTGTCCTGGGTCTCCCCCTGGGCCTCCTCCCAGTGGGATGTGCCTGGAACACCTCACCAGGGAGATGTCCGGGAGGCATCCTAATCAGATGCCCAACCCACCTCAACTGGCTCCTCTCAATGTGGACGAGCAGCGGCTCTACCCTGAGTCCGCCACGGATCACTGAGCTCCTCACCCTATCTCTGAGGGAGACCCCAGACACCCTATGGAGAAAACTCATTTCAGCCGCTTGTTTTCAGGATCTTGTTCTAAACTACAGATAAAAAAAAATGCAAATATACAGACTATTGTATAAAAAAAGAGATCTAAACAAGCGGGTCTGGAAAAGTATGGAAATTGGAAATCGGAAAATGTGTAATCATCCATATTATTGAGCTTTGATACTAATTATGAAAAGTATGATGAAATAAAGTGAAAAAAGATAGTTAACTCCTCATTCAGTGGAAATTATTTTGAAGTCATAACGTCCAGTATAGCAGTAAAATTTTATTCTCCTTTCATTGTTCTCTGATTCATTCTTGGAACGCTAATTAAGAGTGACGATTTCCTGGATATTTTGTGGCTAGTTTCTGTGTTTAAAAAAAAGGAGATAACGGAAGTTAATTAATTTACAAATTGTTTCCCCTAAAAAGATAAATAAAGTCGATTCATTAAGAAAATGTTTCCCTACACTGCAACCAAAGCTGTTTGTGTGCTGCTTCAGAGAGTGACCCCCACCCCCACCAGTCATGTGACCATGTGATCACAGTCAGCGCAGTCAGACGCAAACTTGTGACTGAGGCGGCAGCAGTCGGAGATCAGCCTCTTACTGTGACATTAAATAAAAAAAGGATCAGATCTACTGAACAGCTCTCCTTCTACCTTCCCAGCTCAGTCTGTCAACATGGACTGCGGTATCTGCACTTCTAAGTCAATCCTGCTCTTCCTCAGCCTGGTCTTCTGGGTGAGTCTGTGCGTAAATTTCCACCTGCCGAGATTTTAATACGCGGAGGAAACCAGAAGCGAACATTTACAGGGACTTATACTACTGCTTACTATACAACAAACATGTATATAGTTTATGATAATAATAAATAGTATTATTGTTGGAAATATCTGAGCCTTTACAAAAATAAAACTTGTGCGTCGATAGACGTCACAGAAAGCTGCCATTGCTCCTTGGCGGACGCAGTCTGCGCGTCCTTATTTGTTTACTCCAGCTGCTATTGGCCCAGTGTGAATCTTTTTTAGAAATTCGTGAGAAAACGTTTAATCTTTTATGGTTTCCAGTGAACCCTCTCTAACCTGACACCCTCAGTCTGGAGACTTAACAGCTTTGCCTTTGTTTTTGAATAAACATTGGTTTGATATGTTTTTGGTTTGTGTTTTTTTGGAGCAAACTGGTTTAAAAGGGGTGTTAATTGATTTTGGGGACTGTATAATTACATTACTGTCTGATTTGCCCGTCTGTTTGGCGGAAAAAAAACTAAATATTAACCTGCTCATAAATATCACTGTTAGTATACCGGTACCTAAAATGTTACTTCCTCATTTCCCAGGCATGTTTCAGACAAGGCTGTTCAAAATGCATTTTGCAATCTTGTGCCTGCCTTCAGTTTTGTGTCACATATATATTTTTTTCCTTCTCATTTAATGTATTTATTATTTCCTTTTTCCTGAATACTACTCTATATTTACAGGGCAGTATTTTGAAGTATTTGTGCTTGCACAAATGCAAATAATAATCATAAGCGGTACAAAGCTCAAGCTGTCACTGGGCTGGGTCAATTTTCTGTATAATCTGTGAGTCAGAAACACAAATCTCATCCTTTCTCTAATCACTATTGATAAGCTTTACAATACCATTACAACTCTCTTCGGTATTGATACTGTTACTGAGGGAAGAACACTCAAAATGAGTTATTTTTAAGTAAATTTGGGCTATGGTAAGGCCTATTTGTATTTAAATTAGTGTCTAGAAGATTGAGAATGAGCGTGATTGTTTTTTGTTTAACAAAGCCCAATAAAGTCAACACTTTTGTTTCATTTAAACTTTAAGCATTTCTACATAATTCAATTCTGGTGGATTTGGAAAGGCTGGAAGCTTTTTGACAACACAGAAAAAACAGTGCATATTTCTGTTGCAGTTATACTGAGACAGTAATACTCACTGTATTGTGCTGACCACACCACTCACCAACGTAAACGGATAAACTGCATATTTGTAAGCCATCAAATTAAGTATGAGGTTAATACTTAGTTTGGATAGGTATTGGTCAAACCTGCTTTTGGTTTCTGGCAACAGTTAATGAGAATCTGCACCTTTTCAGAAAGATGTTTAATTTGGGGTGGAATTTGGCCATTATGCAAAAGTCAACAATGTATACAGTATCAAGATTTGATATATTAGCTTCATTATCAAATTTGACAATTTCTGACAGAAATAATTACATTTTATTGAGCCACACCTTGGTAGCTTGATGTATTCATTACTAGCTTAAGGTACATTTTCAGTTAGAGTCTTGAAAGGATCATATTTTAGTCAGCACAGATCTAATAGATTCTGGAGAAGCTTTCTAAAAACTTTCACCACAGATGAAGAAACCAGGCTTTTTAGTCCTTTTCAAATTCCAGAAAAGCATTGCGGCTGTTAAATGCCATACGTTTTGTAATCCTTTTTGTGCTGCCTCTCAGGCACAAGATCAGATTCCATGGAGCGATTAGGGGGTGAGCAGCAGATGCCGAGGTGCAGGAGAACAACCCCAGAGGCATCCCGTGACTTAGGAGTGATTAGAAAAATGAGTCATGGGGCCTAACTCCATGTAAATTACAGTTTCACCACATAACACACATCCGTTCACCTCTTTAAAATATTACGCTATGATTAAGCTGGATTATCAAAGGGGAATTAATACTGAGACTGACCCCCATCACAGGGTTAGAGTTGAATTGGAGGTTTTTGGTTTAATTTTTTTGATGATTCATGACCGTTTTAATTGCTTGATTAGTAAAACAAAATTTAAGCAGATCGATCAAGTTTGTTTTCCGTCTGTTGCTCTGTATGAAGCACTAAACTTCAGTTTGTTGCCCTACTTTCTCCTGCATACTATGGTGCTTCTTTTATCAGTGGTTTGGGATCAAATCAAAGACAGTGTGTCGTAATGAAGGGCAAAGGGAAGTCAGATCTGTCAATAATTAGATAAACGCTTCACTGTTTTTTAAAGGACTCTCCCACTTTTTTGGTGTTTAAATTAGACTCACTGTAAAACTCTGTTAGCAGACCTGTCTGTTGTATAATAAAATATGACACTTTCTTTACATTCTGTGTTTGGACCAAACCAACTCATGCATGAAGTCTTATGATGGGTGATGTCACTGCTAAACAATGATAAGGTTGTGACTCAGTCTACCTTCCAACCCCGTTATGATCACATGAGTTTACATCACATGATAAAACGAGGAAATCTTTTGATGTAAACTTGGCTGCTTTGTTCTTACTTTCCATTGAAATACATTTGTTAGGTATATATCATTTAGCATAAAAATATAGACAAGTACCTCATTGTTATTTGCTATATTTCTTATTGTAAATTACCTGTTTCTCTCCCAGCAGATTTTGTCTGTTACACTTAGACAAGGGCATTAAATCTGTTACACTTAGACAAGGGCTTTCTTTTTTTAAGAGAAGTTGCCTGAAACAGAAAGAGAGATGTTGATTCTCTCACTTCCCTTTATTAACGCTTTAAACAGAACGTTGTATCGTCTTAAAGGGTGAGCTGTGTTTTTTTTTTTTTTTTTCATTATCTTTACAAGCAGTCTATAAAGTTCAAATTCCTGATTCCACATCTTAGGGAGTTTTTCTCATGCACAGCTTGACCCAATTTTCTAATCTTTTTTTCTCTCCTGTCTCCGGTCTAGTGTACATCAGTGTATAGTACCTCTACATTACAGAATCACTGTGTAATAGTCTACTGTTAATTTTAGTGTTTGTAACAAACCACTATGTAATCCTAGAATTTAGGTACTTAGATTTTGTGTCTTTCCTGCACATATTTCCTAGTTATTCCATTCAAACAGTTGTTCTAAAGGCTACAGATGATATTGAATCATTGAAATGTGCAATAAGTGGCTATTATAACGAACTATTATACTGCAGCTATGATATGGTCTGCAGGAAATACATCATTAAACCATCTTTATGCCTTTGTATTTTAGGTTCATAGCAAACATAGAGCCCAGATAGTGTCTATCCAACTAATAAGAAAAAAGAAACTTATGTTAAATAACAATGACCTGGTTTCATTGAAAATACTTTAATCCAGCTGCATCTGCTGATTTGGCAAACAACGTACTTTTGTTGCATCTTTAAGCCCTGCTAATTATTTTTGCTGCATTAAACAACAAATCACCAATATAATACAGCCATTCAGAGTCAAAATGCCCCCCACCAAACTATTTTATTATATGTTGGTCTTAATATGTATGTTTACATACTGTCAATAGTAATTATATCTTTTTTCTTCTAAATGAAGGACAGCAAAATGCATTTGATCAGTTTGAGGGGCTTTCATTGATGCTCAAGGTTTTAAATTGAATTTAGTGCTTGCGTGCTTTTGTCTTTTGCTGAATTGGTTATTCCTACAGCGTCTTTACAGGTCTGCTAAAAAAGGGAATCAGACACCTGCAGCTATTGCAAAATGCTGCTGCTTTTCTTTTTACAAAGACTAGAAAAATAGAGCAAATCACCTTTTTTTTTTTTTTAAGTCCTTACATTGGCTAGCTGTAGCTCAGAGAATAAAAAAACTTTAAAATACTTCTATTAGTTTTTAAATCAATGTACAGTTAAGCACCACAGTACATTTAAGACTTACTACCATCGTATCGACCTTCCAAAGCACTCCAGCCTCCTTGTTCTACTTGTATCCCCAGAACCGAACATGGAAAATTAGCTTTCGGTGTTTATGAAGATTTAATCTGGAACAAAATCCCAGAAAATTGCTAAACAGCCATAACACGAAATTCCTTTAAATCAAGGCTGAAGATCCACCTGTTTAGAATTGCGTTTGTTTAGTAGTCTGCAAACAAATTCAGGGGGAAATCTGCTCATAACAAAATACATTATTACACAATGATGATTTCCCTATGGTAATTATGTGTATCTGGAGAATTTTAGGATTTGTTGTGATGATTCAGATGTTTATTCAGTCCCTGTGTATTTGATTTATGAATTTACTTCGCATTTGTTAGATATTAACAAATTTGAATGTTGTTCTAATGTTTTTATGATGTAAGGTATGATGCAGTTTGAATTAGCTCGCCACTGAAATGTGTTATACCAATACATTTTTACATACTTGCTTTTATATTGACCCAGATCCAGAAGCTCACAGATACATTAGCACTGAAAATGTTGTGATGGTGGGAGAACATAAAACATGCATAACAATTTTAATAGTTATAACAATAACTTACAACATCAAAATTGCCTTTTTTTTTATTGTGCACCCCTATGTTAACAAATGTTTGTCTTTCTCTACCATGCAGGCTGCCGGAGCAGTTTTGGCCTATATTGGTGCCTCTATGATTCAGAGCTATAGCACCTTTGAAAGTTTCATCCAGGACAAGCAGACTTTGATCCCAGCCGCCATTGTCATTGGCATCAGTGTGGTGATGCTCATTTTCGGCCTGGTGGGATGCTGTGCCACGCTCAAAGAATCCAAATTTGGCCTTGGCTGTGTAAGCGCTTGTGTGTCTGTGAAACTTCTCACTATTTGTCTGAATAGAATCTTGAATGCATTTTTTTCTCCTTTTTGCTTTATGTAATTTGTTCTTATGATTTACCATTTAGCCAGTCTAATTTCTACCTACTGTTTTCCTTGTTTTGCAGTTCTTCCTGATCATCATGCTAGTCTTTGCAGCTGAAGTAGTTGCTTTGGTGTTTACCTTCATCTATCAGGGCAAAGTGAGTCAGAACATACCAATCTTACTCATGTCAAGAGTTTTTTTTTTTCTTTTCTACTCTTCCTTCTTTATTGAGATGACTTTTTATGCTTTTAAATTTTTTTCCTGTGCAGATAAATCCAAATCTGGAGCGCTCGATGAATGATGTCTTTGCAAAGTATGATGGGAAAAACACTGAAAGCCAAGCTGTGGATCTGCTGCAGCAGAATGTGAGCATTCCTCTTTACAAATATACACATATGTTCTTAGTTCTACTTTCAGACCATCAACATCCGACGCTCTGCTTGTGTTCTTTCCCTACGGTTGCATTTCCTCCTCTGGTTCTTTCAGGTTCCTCTTCATTCCGATAAGTAACCAAATTAGAATGCATAAATAGTTGTGCCTTCTTCTCTACTGAGCATGCCCAGAATAACTCATCCAGACTTTCTTTACTTAGGGAAATGCAGGGTGTTGCTTGGTGTCATAAAAGGCAGGGCAGTAATGAGAGCACATTGTCCAAAAATAAACATGACTTCACTCATGAAGAAGCAACTACAATGTCTCTTCTAATTAATGACAGTGTAGAAATGGAAGCCATGCAGATACACTTGCTTCATTAGTTTGTTAAAAACGTAGTAAATAACTTAACTGAATTGGATTTTGCTTCGGATTATGGTTTTGGAGTAAATCTCTTTCAATTCTAGTCCTTTAAGAAAAATATTAGTATCTAACCTTTTGATGCTTGTATTTACGAGCTTTTTAATGTTTGTTCCAACAATCAAATTATTTCTTTTTTGTTGACAAAGCCTTTCTTCCTTTTTTCCCCTTTTTTTTTTTCAAGTTCTTTTACTGTTTTTAATTTTTCACCAGCATAATAATGTTTTAGGTTTGTCTTTATGAAAGAGAATATCGAGTTCCGGTTTCTGTATTTTACATTCTGATTAAACCCAACTGTAGAAGTAGCTGACTTTTAAAACCTTTCTTTATTTGTATGATGCTATTCTTTCACATTTTGCTGTTTTTATGTAAAATGTATTTGAAATTCATTATGCCACTAGTAACATCCCCTGCCTGATCAACCATCCCTCATGCATACACATATGTCTTCCTAACAGCTGCCTGAAGTTTAAGTTTAAACATAAAGAAATACAAATTCTCTGGGCCTCCATTATAAAACATAGAAGTCTTATCCCATCCAAATTTTGGCTGCATCATTTTGGTTAAATGCACTCAATGATCCGATTATTTCCTTTCATTTACCCAGTTTTTATCACACTGAGCAGATGGTTAGTGCCCAGTGTCTGTATCTACGCACCATTGGTTACTAAAGCATAACTGAAACTGAAGAAATAAAGGTAATGGTGTGTGAAATGTATAAGATAATGTTTCACCTTTGACCTTTTTTGGCTGCCAGAGGCACTCATTCTGTTCACTTTTTTCATTCATTTTTTTCCCTTCTGTCTCCTTTAGTTAGGTTAACATGATATAAATAGATTTTATACAATTTTCTTTACTCTTGTCGTTGCAGTTGAAGTGCTGTGGAGTTGCCAACTACACCAGCTGGTTAAACACCACCTGGTTCCGCGAAAATAATACCATACCTCATTCTTGTTGTATAAACGCAACTCAGTGTGCCGGCACCCCACAACCACCTAACCTGCTTTACTCAGAGGTAAATCAGACACAATCGGTACCACTAAGCACTCAGTCACATCGGCCGGCGTTCTTGCCGTTCTTTAAGTTATACTTTTTTTTTTTTTTTTTTTT